AAGTCTAGATTATTATTTGAAATATGAACTTTAAAAAAAAAGGACACAATGAAGACCTAAATAAAGGCCAATTCAGAAAGCCTTCATTCTTTGCTAAACAGCCTCATCCTGCATAAGAGAAGTACCCAGTTAAAACAACCAAAGAGCGTTTACAATAAGGGCCAAGCGTCAGGGAGAATAAAAAAAGAAGCCCATTAAGTATGAAGGCCTTTATTAATTTTTAAAATTATAAGAATGTATATTATAGATAATTGTGTAAAAGGTTTCTAAAAAAATATCTAGAAAATGAATATTCACAATAAATAATCTGCTCAAAACTCATCCAAATCACCTGTCTGACACAAACTTCCTGCAGTTATTGCATTCACTATTTGGTCAATGCATCAGTTATTTTGTACTGTTACTGTTGTGAATTGAATATAATATGAAATGTCCATAAAACATGTCACTTAGTCAGGGGTCATCAGCTTTATTAATGATAAAAAAAGGGGTCCCTTAAAGAGGAGCCACCGCTGTATACCATCTAATAAAGGCAGAAAATTACCCAAAGATGTATCCACAAAGAAGAAAACTAAATTTCAGCCATTGCTAAATGAACAGGAGTCTGGACAGAATGGCACTGTACAGGAGACAAAACAGGTTTTTTTCACAGGAGACTTTTTCACATGTCACAGCAGGGAAAGCGTAGGTGTAAACAATGAAATTAATGATGGCTATTTAGCTGTTTCAGAGCCTGGGTATTGTGCATGCTGGCTCGGTGTCACACACTGTGGCTGACTGGGACACTTAGAACAGAGCTATCGTTAATGTTATTAGTAACACCTGTGCTTTTCCTGCTATGACAAAATGTCTACTGCAAAAATGGACCTATACTCTTGTTTTTACCACAGCTACTGCAATTTAAACTTTCTGAAGTTGCATAACAAAATACATTTGTTTTCCATTTAAATCTATATGCATTTGATAAACTTCAGGTGTATTATATATTTGCTTGGAGGAGTGTTTGGGTAGAGCAGGTGGTTAGAGAAGCAATTGACTGGGCTGGAAGTTAACATCTACACAAACAGACTCACCCACAAACACACACACACTCTCTCTCACTCTCTCTTTCTCTGTCTCTCTCTCACTCCCCAACAGTCCCATTTATCACGTTGTGATCACTTGATAGCTTAGCCAGTTGGTAGCCCATGTTATAATGTGTAGCCAGCTGTGACGTTTGGCCTAATGACTGGACTGGGTTTATTTAATGGAGCGAAATCTGCTGGAAATTTTAAGAGTTGCCAGATTCTAAGAAAATCTGTCAGGCTTGTAAGCAGGGAAAACTGCCCACCTCATGCAATGAGAGGCAGGTGGACAAAAACAAGCATGCCTGGGTTCTCTTTCAAAGCTGTTGATGGTTTAATTTCACCGCCTGGCTCAGGCCACTAATAGTGCCTGTCACACACCCTGTTCCAAAAGTTTTATCCAAACACTCTACACCATCTTAAAGGACCATATAGGAGGCTTTGTAATTCTAAACCATGTATGGTTTATATTACTACTAAGACTT